TGTGTGTGTGTGTGTGTCTTATAGACTTGTACACTTTTGCACTCGCAAAAACATGCACTCGTCGCACCCCCTCCCCATTTCCCTACTCACATGAAAACAAACGAACTCATACACACAAACACACACACACACACTCACACACACACACACACACACACACACACACACACACACACACTCACTCACTCACACACTCACACACACACGCACTAATGCGTTAACATACATACATGGCACATGCTCAATACGTCTATACAGTTTTAAGCACGTTCGCACGCCTCCAACAAAAAATAAGATAACTCCGCCGTGACCTCAGCAAACAATCAACAGTGTCACCAAAAAAGGCACACGTAATCATGTGCAATCTTCGTTTTGCTATTAATGGAAACTCTGATGTTCCATGCCCTCGAGAAAGATGCAACATCATGTTCTAAAGGCGAAGGGCTCTGGAATAGAATGCTATAGAGGTGATCTTCCGTGAGCTGAGGTTTACAAAACAACGTCTTCGAAAAGATCAGCCTTTTCGCAAGAGAAAGTACGCCTTCCTCCATACACTGCTATCACGCACTAGACACGTGCAAACAACACACGAAACTGTGCGCGTGTCAACTGACAATAAAAGTCAGTGGTAGTAATAGAGGGCCTGAATGTATATAATCAGAAGCTTGCAGATCAATCAGTTTCAACTGGGTGTCAGAAGTGGCATCCACATGATAATAAAAAGAGTGTTGACGATTTCAAATATTAAGAATGAGATCGCACATTGGGGAAGCGTGAGGTGCATTCTTTCCTTACGGTTGATTGGTAGCACATTGATGCAATCTTACGAATCAAGAACAAGGCCAGCTTCATTGTGAGTGACATCTTGTAAGTGAATGTACTTTATTCAGCTGCCTGTCCTGTGAAAGAAGTGTAACTTCGACTACTCTTACGGGGGAGGGGGGGGGGATGTTGGCGATTGCTCTGATGCGGTATTGTATTTCTCTATGAAGACATCTATCGTCCATATCTCTCCTCCTTTTTGCGTTTTTTACTCTCTTGTAACACCTTTAATCTTTATCACCTTTATAACCTAATCGTCTTTCCAAAGCCGTAAAACGCTTACTAAGACAAAAAAGAGAAGATCTTAAGACGGAGGCGAAGGCACTCTAAAAGACGTTACCACGACCTCTTTGTGATAGAGAAGGTCGCCATAGTCAGACCGACGCCTGTGATGTAACGGTTAGGTGCTTTGTCTATGCATGCAGGAGACCCAATTTTGATTTTCAAGTGGGAAGAAGTTTTTTCGAGTATGTCGGTCTATTTACTTGGACGTTGTATCCCTCTCATTTCGGATTGGCCTTGACAAGCAGTTGAAGTTCCGTCTCTTGAATGATCAGAATTGTGTCGATGGTGGCATAAAACTACAGAAGAAGCCTCTGCAGCTTCGCAAATATTCGTCCGAAGATGCAGTGGTTGAGATGAGCAGCAAGAACGGCGCTGACGTGTACATTTACAAGAGACATAACATCATTCAGCACATCTGTCTTGGCGCGCAACGCTTCTCGGTGGACAGTGGGATTTACCAATCTTTTGCGTGAAAAAAATATAATGCGATAGTCGCGGTAGAGTCAATTAGGCCGTACGTTATGATAGATAAGTAAAGGGGCATTAGGCCAGACGGACGTCCGCCTTAGTCCTGAACTGACCGGAGGCTGCCGACATCTGATGTAGGTTTTGCGCGG